TTAATAAGTGAACCACTTTGAACATGGCACCCTTGACAATTGAATCAGGTAAAGGAAAAGGACCCCTAGAGAGGCAGGGTTTCTGTTTTTCTTTCTACTTTTTGCTTTTTAAAATTTTTTTTTTACTCAATGAACATTATCATTTTAAAAAAGCAATATTGAAAGTGTGGAATGATTTGTTTCGAAGTGTCAATAGCAATCCCCAACTTTTTACATATTAGAACAAAAAAGTATGAGAATTTTTTTTTCAAACTCTTAAATACTAATTTCACGACTGATTTTGTTGTTGCATTGAATGAAGAACAATACTTGGCTACTAAAAAATAAGTAGGAATTTCTACTTAAAAATTTTCAAAATTGTTTGTTGCCAATTTATAGAATTTCGTGTTTATAATAAGAACCGTTCATATTATAAATTACCCTATAAATATCACATATGTAAAAAATCAATTAAAATTAAGATCATTTAGTCATCAAACTGTTTAAAAACAAAATAACGGTATTGGTAAAAACATTACGAACTGTCTATGTATTTGCTACAATAGATTGCTTAAAATACCTTAGTTTTAATTTATTTTTTACAGAGATGATCTTTATAGTGTGATTCATAATATAAACGATTCTGATTATAAGTACAAAACTCTATGTTTAAAATACTAAGAGTTTCGAGTAGGAGTTCATTTTTATCTTCAAGTAAACAAGTATTGTTTTTACATATGAATTGAAGAAAATCAATACACAAAAAATTAAAAAGAAGTGCGTGAAAGCACTACCCTTTGGTAAATCCACCAAAACTTTAGTCTTTGTTGACAAATCATCAGCCTTGTCTATCTTATCTTCCAAGAAAGTTCGAAAAAGAGAAATTGTATTCTCTCTCTCTGAAGTCTTAAAGTCCAAAGTCTAACACCACATACCACCCAGGAACAATCTTGCTTTAATTAAATTCACTTTGTGTTGCCGGCCGGACTGGGGTTTACATTTTCTAGTTGGACGTTGGAAAAATGCTATCGGGACAGAGACAGTCCAAAAACGAAAAATAAAATAATAAAATTGTAATATTGAAACATCATCGTTCCAATCTTATCTTTATCTTATGTGGTGTGTTTGGCCAGAAATCAACTGTTCCACAACTTGAACAATTAGCTACGTCGGTCGCAAGATACCAAAAACCCTAGAAATATTAAATAAGCAGTTAATTAGGTTACGCTTTGCTTCCATCAAACACGTCGCATCCGTATGCCCTCTGCTTACAAGTTTGACTTACGTGATAAAAATATCTTTCATTAGATCCACCGTCGATGTCCATCTCTTATTGGGACTTGGATTGTCTGCCCTCCTAGTTGAGGTGTCCTTTCATGCTCTCCTATTTTGTGCGGTCACGGTTAAGCCATGTCAATATTTTATATTTTTATTATTTTTTGTCTTATTATCTTATTAAAAAATTAATATAAAATATTAACGTGGTTTAACCGTGACCGCACAAAATAGAAGGGCATGAAATGACACCATAACTAAGAGGGCAGACAATCCAAGTCCCTCTTATTGGACCTTAAAAGATGCAGTTGTGTATTCAGGCTTGAGCGATGCTTTACGTGTCAAAATATAAGCATGCAACAGTTGAAACCTTTACGAATAATTTATTTAGAGAAACGTTAAATAAATTCTCTTAAAAATGAGACTATCTAAAATGTATTTCAGCTCATATTTTTAACATAATATTTTGTAATAATAGTATGAAAATTGACGTTAAACACTGATATAACAGAAAATTTATATAAAATCTCATTTTAAGACAGTTTCCTTATAATTTCTCATTTATTTATTAAATCTAATTTATATTTGCACAAAAATCCATTGTATCATCACCTAGAATTCTAACAATAGCAATCACACTAGCACTATGATTACGTGAGAAGCTTTTAAATTTCATCGATCGATGTTAATTTAATAAAGGATGTATTGCTAAATGTTAAACAGGAGAAATTAAAATTGTAACAATGAGTAATATAAAAGGTAGGCGAATGATAGGAAGATCATATACAAAATTTTGTAAATTAAATGACACGAAAGTTGAAGTTTAAATTATTATTGAGTGCTGATATCTCTACCGTTGTGTCTTATTTTCCCACTCATATCTTAATAAAAAATTTATTTACAAGTTTACTTCTTAACAAAATGACGAATAAAGACAAGAAGTTGTTCAAAGTGCAATCTTTGATTTTTACTGTTCTTACTTTGCTCTCTCAGCTCCTTTTCATCCCCATAACCCTCACAATATTATCCTCCTTTTTTCTTTTTTCCCCATCTGATTTTTTTTTTCTTTCTAAATGTTTTCCCCATCTGGGTTGTTTTGTGAAAGCCAAATTAAGCTACTTATGTTAGTGTGTGCTTTCTTCCTGTGCTAATTTGGATGGGTTGGGATCTATTTATTGGAGAAAGCAAATCCATAGGCATGTTATTTGGAAGGAGATTGAATTGAATGCGTTTTTGGGGACTGCGTTGGTGGATCTTCATAGGAAAACTGGTTATTTGGATAGCACTGGATACGTGTTCCAGCAAATGGTAGCTAAAAAAGATGTGATATTCACACATCCTTTTTACTTCTTCTACATTTTTTTAGTTTTCAACCGTCGGATTGAATGAATTGAAGAATATCAACGAACATAAATTAGATATGTGTGAGAAGTAAAAAGAGATGTGTGGATAACTCATCCCTTAAAAAAATGTGTACTTGAAATAGGATGGTTTCTGCACTTTCGTTGAAAATGAGGCTTGCAAAATAGTAGAATATGTAAAGGACATCTTAGGAATATAGGTGGGTGTAGAAAGAGTCTTTTTAATTTTTTTAGCTTTTTTAAGGGGTGGTAATATAAGGTGGGGTGGGGACGTAGGGCTCTGGGATGAGTCTAGTATTTATTTTATTATTTAAATATTAATAAATATGTTTATTTGTATTAATGATATATTATTTAATTTGTAAATTTTATTTACAAATCTAACCTCTTTAGATTATCTCTAATAGTTAGGCTAAAAGCCAAATATTTTAGTTTAGAAAATTTAACTTTTAGCCTAAAAATAGTTTTTCAGCTCCAACCGTTATAGTCTAAAATTTTAGCCTGGAATTATTAAAGAATGAACTTAGGTTTTTTTTTGTTAAATTAATTTTTTTTAAATAAATATGTAGACTATCGTAAATTAATTTTATGAACATTTTAATCTAAAAAAATTTTAATTCCAATTTCTGAGCTAAATTTTGGGGGAATCTGGCCTTGGTTTAACATTTAACATTTAGTCTAAGTTTTCCCCTTGGGTTGGATTGGATTTGGGAGGAAATTTTAGAAGGCAATTTGACTTTTAGCCCACCATTGAAGTTAGACTTAGGATTATCCTAAAAGGTAAGCAGGGAGAATTTATAAATGATGAAGGACAAGGAGGAATACGACAATCTCTCTTACATCTTTTGTAATATACATGTTACTTTTCTAATTTCTTTTCTCTAACACGATCTTAAAGTTACGAGATTTGGAGTTTTCCGAAAGAAAAAAAAAAGTTACGAGATTTGGATTTGAATCCTCTTCGGATCAAAATATGAGAATTTTATGAATTCTCATATTCTAATCTTATGGTTAAAAATTATTTTAAAATATAAATAATATCTAACAAAAATTAAACGTATAATATACAATACAAGATTAAAATGTCAGGATTCCCAGGATAATGCTAGTAGACCCAACTACTTAACATATTTATTATTTAATTATTAAAAATCAAAATTATTTTAGTACAAGATTAAAATGTCAGGATTTCCAGGATAATGCTAGTAGACCCAACTACTTAACATATTTATTATTTAATTATTAAAAATCAAAATTATTTTAGTACTAGTAAAGCAACAATTCTTTTGTTTAATTACTTTTTTTTAGTTGCTATTTAGTATTACAGTTTAATGATATTTTTTTAATTGTAAATGAAAACTCTTAAGTTTGACTATTATTGAAGTCGAATTTGAACTACATAATTGATAATTTACTGTGAGTCTTAGATCAGTCTGTTATTACTTAATGTAGTTTTTTAAAATAAAATAAATTTCTAGTTGTTTTAAAATTCGGGACCAGTAGATTAAAGATAATTTTAACAAAATACTTTTGGTATTATTTTAACAAAAAAATTATATTTTTACATTAAAAAATTAATTCTGATACTATTTATTTTATCTTTTATTTTATATTTTCAAATCCGAATACCCCACCTACCATCCGCCTCGAGCAAGAATCTGCAGCTCTGCTTTATCACACGAGAGACTCATCACTGACATTACCATTACTCTCTCTCTCTCACTCACCCACGCCTCACTGCCTTTGTCATTTTCTTTTGGGCCTCGAGATATCTTCCTCCGCAATTACCAACCGCTCGTTTTCCTCGACAACGCCAAAAGCCAATCAAACGGTCTGATGCATTTACATCTCCCCTCTGTACAACACCTTTTCCATTAAATACTATTCTTTTAGGAAAATATTTTTTTTAATTAAGTCATGGTTTCCAAGCGTCTTTTACCTCTAACACAACACCAAAAAAATTGATTAAAATATTCCCCAGCCTCCATGTTTCGATTATTTTGCGGAATTTGGATCCTCTCCTCTCCTTAGCTCAGCATCCTGAGCTTACTGAGCAAATAATATGGACAGTTAGATTTTGATCAAACGGCAACAATTATTAGAATTTTAGAGAAATTTTTTATTTGTAACCGTTAGATCAAAATCCAACCGTCCATATGATTTTCTCAGTAAGCTCAGGATGCTGAGCGAAGGAGAGGATCCAAATCCTATTTTGAGAGCCCTTTTGACCGGCCCTTTACTTTTCCCCATCTCTCCCTCACTCTATATAAAGACTTTACATCCCCCATTCTCTCTCATCAAACCCTTTTCTTCCTCTTAGCCACTTCCTCTCTCTCTACATCTCCTCTTTACCTCTGTCTTCCTATCTACTTCCACTCTTGACAAATGGCTATTGCCGATCATACTCCGGCTAAACAGCAGAGGGATGAAACCCTAACCCCCGTTGACGACAGTGTTCGTCAAGCTACGTCTAAACGCCAAAGGGACGAAACACTAACCCTAGATGAGGATTCCGTTGATCTCAAGCGTCAGAAGCCCTACACCGACATACTCTCTGTCCTCGACGAAGAAGAAGTTGAAACTTCGGAGGACTTGTCCTCTCTAATCACATCCCTGCAGCAAGAAATCTCCTCTGAGCCTCTCAACACATTCCACGGCTCCGAAACCCTAGCTGCTGAGTCGGCTCTCGAAGGCTATGCCTCGTCCTCTGGCTCTTCCACTCCTACTTCTTCTAATGCATGCTTTTTGAAGGAGGATGAGAGCGAGAGGGTTTTGCGACGTCTTTTAGAAGCTTCCGATGACGAGCTCGGGATTCCGCAGAGGGAGGCTGACGGGTTCGATGACGAGGCGGGTAACGGGTTTAAATTCAATGGTCTGGATGGGTTTACTTTTGGTGATGGGTTGTGGGAGCTAGAGGACGAAGCTGCCAACTACTATACCTTGATGCAATCTGAACTGTTCATGTAGTACATTGATTAGGGTATGGGTTGGACAGGTGGAGGGGTAAAAATGGAAAGGAAGTATATGTTAGGGGACTCTGGAGGAAAAAAATGATGTTTAAAAGGAGTTAAATGAGGGACAATACAGAGAAAATGGAGAGAATTTTTAATTTTCATTTTGGTCCCTCTTCTTGTGTAAAAATATCAAACCGTCCTCTGCCACTTATTAGGAGATTTAACTTGTAGAAGGAAAATGAAATCAAAATTTCAAGAAATTATTTTAACACCTGTATTTGTTATTGTGTTCGTTTGTTGAAGTACCCATTTTGTCCTTGCATTTTAAACTTTCACACAGTAGGACTAAACCAAGCTGAATGGGTAAATTTGACCTTTGAGGAACACAAATTTCCTTAATTTTTCACCCTTAGCTTATTAATAAAGTAGGTCCACAGTGGGAAAAGTTAAAACGCTGTGTGTTCTCGGGAGCTGCTAACGTGAGCCATGCTCTGCGCACTGCGCACTTCAAAAGATTTTTGTAGGATGCACAGGGTACATTTGTACGTAACCGACCAAAGTTAAATTGAACGTTGCGACTTAATAGTAAAAATATTGGTTCCTTTTTCTTTTTTAAATAAAAGCGAACCATTAGTATTAAACCACGGTTATTCATTCTTTTTGAAGGTCTAAAAGATTCACAAGGATGTTTCAATTTTTCCTTGGCTATAAGTTTATAGCTTTCACATCAACAGTAGATTTCAAACCTAAAACCTTTAGTTTTTAATTTTAAAGAAAGTTCGTAATCCGTCATTTACCAGGACCACTAGCTCATGGTTAAAATATTGGTTCCATTTGGATTCGCTTGTTCTCTCACTTCACTGCACATCAAATTATATTATCTCGTTCACCAAAAAAAAAAAAAAATTATATCCACTTTCTACTTTTGATTACTTAGAGAGTGCGACGACGCACCGTTCCGTAAAAAATACAAAGATAATAGAAATTGAAAGACGATGAGAGTGCCGACGAGTCGTACGCAAACCAAAGCTGTGGGGCCGTATGAGGAGGTAAAACCAAATCATGTGGCGACAAATAATATTGATGGACCTAGCGGGACCGTAGAGGAGCGCATTTGTCCCACTATTTTCAATTGGTAATGCTCCATGAGAGTTACATAATACATTATTTTAGTTTATGAAATTGAAAATGAATATAAATGGGTCATGAGATTGTTCACCATTCATTATTTTGATCATTCCGTTAAAAATTTCGTTAAGTGTTCCGAAGCTCTTGATCGAAAGTTTGGTCAATTTTCAAAGTTTTGTAACTCAATTGTTTCTTAACCAAATTCGACATATAATATATCAAAATGAAGATAGGAAAGTGTAGAATAAGATTATACCTATTTGGAAGCCCAGTGTTTGTCGAAGATGGCCGGAAAATATCTTGAAAAGTGACTGGTATGCGGAAAAATTGAAAAACTCACTGGAAACTGGATGAACTTTAAATGCTCATAACTTCTTCAATACTCAAGGAAATCGAGTGATTCAAAAACGAAAATGATACTTTTCGACGAGATTCTCGTTTTTGAATCACTCGATCTCGTTGAGTATTGAAAAAGTTATGAACGTTTAAATCTACCCAGTTTCCGGTGAGTTTTTCAGTTTTCCTGCAGACTAGTCACCTTTTAGGCTATCTTCCAGCCATCTCCGGCCACCATTAGACTTCCAAATAAGTATAATCTTGTGCTACACTTTCCTATCTTCATTTTGATATATTATGGATTAAATTTGATTAAGAAACGATTGAGTTACGAAACTTTGAAAATTGCCCAAACTTTCGGTCAAGAGCTTTGAGACACTTAACGGAGTTTTTAACGGAATGACCAAAATAATGGATGATGGACAATCTCAGGTACTAAAGTGATGTGTTATACAAATATTATGAACCATTTTGACTAAAAAGTCCCTAAATCATTACAGTTAAATGAGATTAAGGGTCGAAATTTGTGTTTATCAATTATCACTGCACGAAAATTTTATTTGTTAAACTCATCATAAATCATGATAAATGGAATAGTGAACATCATCTACGTTAACAAGGTTATAAGCCATCGATGGGCATGCATATGTGAACTTATACGAGACATGTACCATGTCATGGGGATGGGCGGGATGATGTGATACGATGGGAGGGAAGATATTGTGGGATGGAGTGGTATGCATCATGCATGGGGACCATGGATGGACACATTTGGGGCGACAAGGACAAATTACATCGTGGTGCCATCGATTCTATATCTGCTTGACATGGGGACCACGAAAATAATAACTGGGTTCGAAATATCGATATCAGCATTTACGTAAACGACTCTGGTCCTAGTAAGTAGTAACTTCCGTGGTTCGGATTTTAGCTGTGACCTTCAATGCCTGGTTGGTTTACATTAGTTTGATTAACCAATGATTTTATTAAGTTGTCGTTTTATCCCCATTTTGTTTTTAAATAAATAGACATAAACACTAAATTTAAAATAGTTATTCAACGATTTCTAAGTTTTGATTTTAAATTATAGTTTTAATTAGGGGCCTTCATTTCTTACAGCCCTTATTTCTTTCATGTATTTTCAGTTTATTAGAGCATTTACAAAAGAGAAGTAAAATTCCTATGTGAATTGTTTTGACAAAAATATGTTTTTTTTTGTTTCAATGGAGATGTCAAAATTCTACATAAATTAACTTTCTTCTCTTTGCTGTCAAATTTTAAAACAATGTCAAACTTTTCTATTATTTTAGTTTAATGCTAAGTCCACATATTTCTTTACTTTTTTTTTCGTTATTTTTTGACCATTTGATTATGCATTGGTATATCCAAGGTTTTAAAAGACGTTAGGCGCTAATCAGGCAGCGGGCTGAGGCTTAACACCTTGGCGGTTAGGCGGAGCTTAGGCGGGCACCTAGGCGGACTAAGCGGATTTAAGTAAACTTATTATATTTCGTGTAAATAAGTGTCTGCTTATACTTAAAATTTATATATTTTCATTATAAACTACAAAATAGAATGACATGTATATTGCGAAATATTGGAACATAATGAAAACATGGGGAACAATAATATAATGGGTGTTCATTTAAGTATGCAACAAGTCTCTTACAATTTATAAAAAAAATAAAATACAAAATGAAAATTATTTATATTATGATTAAGTGAGCCATGACCTAGGCATCTGCCTCGGCGGGTCTGGGCGGGTTAGGCGGGATCTCAGCAGGTTTATGCGCAATTTCTTAATTTTCAAATGCCTAGACATTAATTGGGGCGACGCCCGCCCGCTTAGCGCGTAGGTGAGAATTTTTAGAATAGTGGGTATATCTAAGTTACCAATGCATTAGCATTCTTGTTCTTTCAATGTGGAGGATAACTTAGATATACCAATACATTATTATGTAAATTAAGGTTGTTGTATAACAAGAAGAAGAAGGAAGGCGATTTGGTTTCATTTTCATTCAGACGATTTATTCAAATCAAATACACTTCAATTTGGCTAAGTGTGAAAAACATGGGCGGTCAAGTAGACTAGAAGACAATTGCAAGGATCGTGTCGTTTTCACTTCAAATTTAAAGAAGAAGAATACTAGTCGCTGGGCACATTGAAAAATTTCTTCCCATTTATTTTTTTCACTTGTTTTTTTTACATTTAGATGTTAACACGTGAATTTCATTGGCACATCAAACTCAATAATCAATAATCAATACTCTTAATGTGTGAAAAGATTTATCATTTCACACATAAAAGAATCTCTTCCCATTTTCTCTAAAAACGTTTTCAGTTATTTAAAAGCACTTTTCAAACAAGCCTCAAAACAATTTTCTAAATTTTTATTGCAAAAAACCCCTAGTCTACAATTTTAGGCCTCATTTTAGTCTTGAAAAAGTTGTATGAACTATCGTGTGTACTGTATAATAAGGATGGAGACTATGGTTGAAGCGTGCCATCATCGCAATTGTCCAACAATTAATAAGCAAAAGGGAAGAAGCTCAACAACGAAAGTGGTTGCCTTAGGGGAAGATTCCAAATTTTAAATCTCCACAAAATTTCAAGTGGAGAGAATACGACTTTGTTAATTAAACACACAACTCAAGAGAAAGTGGGTAATTGATACCCATTGAAATGGTATGGAAAGCAATTTGTATGGTTAACCAAATGCAAACGGTTATGATGACATTTTGTGCTAATTATATAGTGACATATGAAGAGAAATTAGCATATATGTTTGTATTATTTATACTTATTTTATAAAATTCATTCTCTATGCTGTTGGGAGAAAATCTTTATAAACATCAAGAACATTAATCATGCGGTGTATCATTTCGCGTATTATGAAAAACAAATATCTAAGATTTTGTTTGAGTAAAATAACATCGTCAGATGATTTGTTCGGAATATATTGAAAAATTATTTGAGGCGCGAGAAGCTTCCTCAGACACAGGTAATTCCAAAATCAGATTCTCCCAACCCCACCAGTTTCCAATTTCTTGCAATACAAGCAACCCAGCAGTTAGTAGCTTCTTTCCAACCTGCGGTTTGATGGCGATTGGCTCTCTCCTGTCTACTTCTCTGCAATTAATTCCCACTTTTTTAAATATCTGGAACTTGAAAGGAATGCGTATTGATACTTAACCACAATTTCTTCGCGACTATACAGATGCGTATTTTATGGGCGAGATGTTTCCACATATTGCTTCGATTGGTGGAGGAAGGCAAAGTCCGTCTAGATTGACAGTTACAGAGATTTTTCAGTGTGATCGGTACACGGGATGATACATCACGTGTTATTATACAAATGGTGAGATATGTGTGCTAAAAAGCTAGTAACTTAAAAGATAAAATTTCCCACCACTCTTATTAAAACACATGATGTACTACTTGTATTTCCGTCAAAACTAAAAATTTCTCGATAGTTACATCCATGAACTAACTAATCATCGAACACTATTAATTATGAATCACGTTATTTGTACTTTAAAAAATCATAA